AGAAGCTAGGGACAGAAAGGTAGATAGATCGTGTCAATAAAGTTAAAATGTTTTGTCTCAGGGCATCGCGGAGAGAACCTCAAAAATATTTTTCTACTTTTCGGGTGGCTTGCAATTAGGTTGTGAGTTGATCTCTGCTGCTTTGCTATTTTAGTGCTAAAAGAATTTTAACGCTAAAATTTTAGTACTAAAAATAGCATTATTAAATGAAATGTGACCTGCCCAAGTCATTTTCCACCAAGATGCTCAGAAGGGGGAAAAGAGAGAGCGACAGAAGCCTGAAAGCTATCGCAGTGGAATGAGGGTGAACCTCACGCTGAGGGCTGGGTGCCCACTGCACTCCGCAGCCACCACAGCCTGTGGGCAACTCCTGTACCAGCGTCATTCCACTGAATTATTATTGACTGTTCGCCTTTCATAAACCATGTTGTTCCTCTTTGTTAGGGTAAAAAAAAAAAAAAAAAAAAACCTTTTGGTGTCCCTATCCTGACAGTTTTTGTGCAATTTAAATCCTGAATAGAATTGAAAATGCAAATATTACAGAAATTCACACTATGTGAAAAATAGACATTTTAATTGTTGACGTTAAAAGCCGGTGTAGGGTCCGGCGTGGTGGCGCAAGTGGTTGAGGTCCTCGCCTTGCACGCCCGGGATCCCATACGGGCGCTGGTTCTAATCCTAGCAGCCCCGCTTCCCTTCCAGCTCCCTGTCTGTGGCCCAGGAAAGCAGTCGAGGACGGCCCGAGGCTTTGGGACCCTGCACCCGCGTGGGAGACCTGGAAGAGGCTCCTGGCTTCAGATCGGCATAGCATCGGCAGTTGTGCTCACTTAGGGAGTGAATCATCGGACAGAAGATCTTCCTCTCTGTCTCTCCTCTCTGTATATCCGCCTTTCCAATAAAAAAATAATTAAAATAAATCTTTAAAAAAAAAGCCGGTGTATTCATTAACTTGTACAGTACCTCACTCTAGCTGCTGTTCCCCCGCCTCCCTGCTTTGTTTTTTGTTTTTTTTTTTTTTTAAGATTTATTTGTTTTTATTGGAAAGACAGATATACAGAGAGGAGAAGAGACAGAGAGGAAGGTCTTCCATCTGATGATTCACTCCCCAAGGGGCTGCAACAGCTGGAGCTGAGCCAATCCAAAACCAGGATGCAGGAGCTTCTTCCAGGTCTCCCACGTGGGTGCAGGATCCCAAAGCCTTGGGCCGTCCTCGACTGCTTTCCTAGGCCAGCGCCCATATGGGATCCCAGTGCGTTCAAGGCAAGCACTTTAACCACTATGCTATTGCACCTTGACCCCCCCCCCTTTTTTTAAGATTTGTTTTTATTGTAAAGTCAGATTTGCAGAGAGAAGGAAACAGAGAGAAAGTCCTTCCCTCCTCTGGCTCACTTCCCAATTGTCTTCAATCAGAAGCCAGGAGCCACGAGCTTCTTCAGGGCCCCGGACTGTAGAGCAGCCGGGATGTGGACCAGCACCATACGGGATCCCGGTACCTATAAGATGCAGGATTAGTAATTGAGCCCTTATGCCAGGCCCTCACTATTTTTTTTCTTCAGATTTACTGCCATCACCTGAATCTAGGCCTTTCATGAACTGAAATAACTGCTTTGACTTTCTCTCATCCAGTGTTAAGTGGATTTCCACAAAAGGTCTCCATAAAACCAGGAAACAAATTTTGTTCAGACTGCTGTGGGGGACCAGAGTTCCAGCTAATCAGAGAGCAGGCGGCTTTTTGTTCCCCAGCATTCACCATCTTCCACGACAATTAAAAAAAACAAAAAAGAAAAAAAGTTTTATTGTCTTTCAAAATTTAAAAAGCTAATTATAAAAGAAAGGTAAATAATTAAACTTCTAAATGTCCCAAGATTTCTGAGACCTGCTCTAAGTCATAAACTTTAAGTGAGAATTCCACTTTGTTTTACTTTTGAGCTTTTCAGATTCCTCCAGAGCTCAGCTGCTTTTCTGTCTTCTGTGCTCTGCTGTGTGACCTACAGGCCTGTCCACACTGCATCCCAGCAGGTGGCTATGCATTGGCTGGGATGTGAGCCACTGCTGCTGCTGCTGATGATGATGATGATGCTCTGCTCTGCAGTTGCCTGGCAACAGATGTTTGCACTGCCTGGCCTCCAATCTTGCATCAGCTAGAATCTGGAATCTGATCCAATGGTTCGTTATACAAAGGAGAATCACTTTCCTCTAAAACCAAGCTAGGAAAAAAAAAGACCAGATGATTTAAAAAAAAGATTATTTAATTTTTATTGGAAAAGTGGATATACAGAGAGGAAGAGAGACAGAGAAGAAGATCTTCTGTCTGATGATTCACTCCCCAAGTGAGCTCAATGGCTGGAGCTGAGCCAATCCGAAGTCAGGAGCCAGGAGCTCTTCCACATCTCCCACGCAGGTGCAGGGTCCCAAGGCTTTGAGCTGTCCTTGACTGCTTTCTCAGGCCACAAGCAGGAAGCTAGATGGGAACCAGGATTAGAACCGGAGACCATATGAGATCCCGGAGTGTGCAAGACAAGGACTTTAACCACTACAGTATCGTGCTGGGCCCAGATGATTGTTTTTTAAATACGAATGCTTTTTAAATATCGGGAGCTTCTGCCTGGCTGGCCCGCATACAGCTATTGCAGTGCATCTTGGTTCAAGTCTTTGTTCCACTTCTGGCCCGGCTTCCTGCTAATGCACACCTCGGGAAGCCACAGGTGTTGGCTCTGCCACCCTTGTGGGAGACCTGGATGGAACTCAGATACTTGTTTCAGGCTGGTCTATCCCTAGGTGTTTTAGGCATTTGGGGCATGAACTAGTACATGAAAGATCTCTCTCTCGATCTCTCTCTCCTCTCCCAATTCTTCTACCTCTCTCCCTCCCTCTCAAATAAGAAATAAACTTTAAAGATTACCTCTGCTTTTTCCATAAGAAACGTTTCATTGCTCTACAAGGGGATCTCAAGAAGTTCATAGGAAATTCAAATTGTCTTTCAGAAAGTTTTTGAAGCCCCCTTACATAAGGAAAGCACTTTTTAAAAAGATTGACTGGTTGATTTGAAAGGCAGAATAACAGCAGGTGAAGGAGACAGAAAGAGATCGCCTGTCTTACGGTTCACTCTCTAAGCAACTGCAATAATTAGGATTGAGACTAGCTTCTGATTTGAGGTGCCTGGAATTCCATCCAAATCTCCCACATGGGCGCAGGGGCACCAGCAGGAAATTGGATTGGAAGCAAAGCAACCAGGACTAGAACCCGCACTTGCTATGAGATGCTAGTGTTGCCAGCCCTAGCTCAGCCTGCCATGCCCAAATGCTGTTCCTTGAGAACGTTTTTACTCTTTAGGGTCAAGCAAAATGTTGGGGCACACTCCAGCGCTAGTGTTGTGCAGTAATTCCGACTAGACTGCATGAGTTTGGGTACGCATACCCCTCATCCTCAACCTGTTAAAATGATGGTGACAAGAGTGCCTGTCTCTTGGGGTTATTTCAGTGTCCATGCCTGGGTCAGCCTGATCCTGGGATGCAGGGACTCGATCCAGGTTTTACCTACAATCAGACACAGCCAGTTTCCAGGCACTCCCCACAGGTTCTCAACAAGGCTGACACCAAGGCACCAGACTGGAGGCCTGATGTGACCTTGGTCAGAGATGTGGGTGTACTAGGGTGCAGAGGACACACACAGATGGAAGCGGCTCACTGGCGAGCTGAGCTCCTCCAGGCCAGAAGTGAGGGTTGTGGAACTGGACAGAGCCGCGTGAGTTTACATGGATGAGAGAAACAAAGCCCTAGGGCGTGGGGGGGAGGGAGGGGAGAAGGATTGAAAAAGGTAGCGAGGCTCAGGGATGGAGAGGTGTTGGGGGGAAATGATTGCCCCGTGATGGGGCCGTGTCTGCTTGGGGCAGTGCGCTTGGGGCTGAGGGTGGAGCTAGAAGGCCAAATTGGAGACTTGTGGATCCCGGAAGACACAGCTGAACCAACGCATCTAAAGAAATCTCGGTGGGGCCACGGCCAGGGCCCACCAAGCCTGGCGACCACGACCTGGCAGCAGCAGAGAGCCTATTAAGAGAAGGTCTCCACCGCGGCCCGGACTCACAGGAGCCTGTGGCCCTTGCCACATGCAAAGGGTGCGCGCCCTGGTCCTGCTGGCAAAGGGAAGGTGTTCCGGGGGTTCCAAGTCACAGAGAAGGACATCAAGTGCCGGACTCCCGCCCACATCCGTTTCTCTGCCCCAAGGCCAAGTTCGAGGCCACAGTGTCTTCTAGAAAAGAAGAGGAGGCGCCGAGAAGAACTGCAGAGGAGGAACGGGGGGCGGAGGGAAGGACCGGTGGCGTGGGCGCGAGGCAGCGTCTAAAGCGCCTAGGGAACAAAGGCGGTGTGACTGGGGGAGCCTCGGGGCACCTCCTCCCTGATAGAATATGCATGATCGGGGCGAAGGCGGCGAGAGCGCGCCCACAGCACTCTCGCGGGCGCCGGGTGCCAGGGAGCCGGGAGGCCGCGGCTGCAGGAGCCAGCGGTGGGCTCGGGACCCCACGCGCGGTGCTTGTAAGCGGTCCCCCTCCCAAAGCCGGGCTCTCCGTGGAGCATCAGCCCCTGACCTTGCCACGGCCCGTACGGCTCTAGGAGGGGCCAGTGTGTCTCTTTGAGGGACCCGAAGAACACCTGTGCGGCGCCCCCCGCCGCTGCCTCCCTCTCCCCTTCTGCCGCTCAAGACTGGACACTGAAGGAGGCGCGCGTCCGACGGCAAAGGCCGAGCGGGGACTCCAGCCGCCGGGACAGGTGCCCTGGTGGGACCTGGTGGCGAGCTCCGTCCTTCCCGCGCTGTGCTGGGCCAACAGCCCGGCGGAGACCCTGCACCCAACAGTGCGCGCTGCCCCTTCGGGGTGCCCGGCTAGGTAGGACTGAGCGAGTCTTGGTCGCTCTCGGTCTCCAGCGGAGCGCAGAGCCCGCACTCTCACCATCTTGGTTTGTTGTGCGGTGTTTACCGAGCAGTTTTCTTTTTTTTTTTTAAAGAATTCTCTTTTTTAAAAAAGCCATTTTTCCTCCCCAGCGCGTGTTCGTTGCATCTTTTTCAGTTGGGAGTTTGCAGTGGACAGGGGGCGGGAGAATAAACATCTGTTGCGATCCGGACACAAGGAGAGACCCGGCCGCTTCTTTCAGCAGTGAGAAAGAGCGGAGTGGTGGCCAGATCCGCAAACACCTGCGTCTCTCGCGTGCTGTCTGTGCGCATTCCTAAACTCTGCGGGCAGGCATGGGGTGTTTGGGCAACAGCAAGACGACAGAAGACCAGGGCGTCGATGAAAAAGAACGCCGCGAAGCCAACAAAAAGATCGAGAAACAGCTGCAGAAAGAGCGCCTGGCTTACAAAGCGACCCATCGGCTTCTGTTACTGGGTAAGGGTGGGGATCGCGCTGCGGCTCCAGCTCGAGGAGCGCACACTCCCCTGGCAGAGCTGTTGGCCCCAGCCTGGTCAGAAAGCCTGGGCCTGGCTCCGGCAGGCGGGAAGTGACAAAAAAGGCGGCGGCTGCTCGGGTTTCTCAGTGGAGGGGGGAGACACAGATCCGCAGCATTTTATCTGTTTGCTTGTAGGGGCCGGTGAGTCCGGAAAAAGCACCATTGTCAAGCAGATGAGGATCCTGCACGTGAACGGCTTCAATCCAGAGTAAGAAATATCCTTATCAACTTTGCCCTTAAGCCTTGCACTTGATAACAGAGTGCGGTAGGGACTAAACAGGCAGTTGAATTTAGTATAGCCACACAAATCCTTCTTTTCCAAAACGAGTCACAAAGTACAGTTCATTCCATATCTGTGGTTTGGCTCTAAGCATGCAAACAGTACAGTCCCCACCCCACCCCGTGCCTGTGGGTGCTCCCTGCCAGGACATCTCTGCTACCCAGACCTCAGAGGGTGACATTCCTCATGTAACTATTTGCATGGAGCCCACACACATCCAGCGGGGAACTTAAAGCCTTTGACAACATACAGTACCTAGAGCTGGGACAGCATTATGCTACTAGGGTTTATGGTCTACACAGTGAAGACCGTGGGTGGGGGAGCAATCATGCATATTCGGGGAAGATCCAAAGTTTTCTCCAAATGTATTTGATCGTCACATTCCCATCATAGGGATTGGTTAACAACAAACAGGTGCATTCAAGTAAAACGTATCGTATCGTAGCTGCAACTCTATCGCTATGCAATGCCATAGTGGTGTAGCCACTTTGACGGGGTAACTTGCATGGATTTTTTTTAAGTCACCTATTGTAAGTGACTGTTATAAAACAAACAGGTTTTTTTTTGGGGGGGGGGCGGGCTGCAGTTTAGAAACAGGTAATATTCTCTCTTCCCAGATGAAAACTACTCAGACCTTGTCCTGGGGTGGTGGTGGTGGCCTGGGAACCAGCTTCGCTGTGCAGCTAGAGGCTTGGATTCCCACTCAGCCGATTCGAATCAGCGCTAAGGGAAAAATGGTATTAATAATAGTTTTCTTTCCACACAGGGAAAAAAAGCAGAAAATTCTGGACATTCGGAAAAATGTTAAGGATGCTATTGTGGTAAGGGCTTTTTTGTTTGTTTGTTTGTTTTGTGGTTGCAGTCTAAAGCACTGTAGACAGAAATTCACGCCTCTTCCCTTATACCTTCTCCGTAATGCCCAAATCTCTGTTTAATCCATGTCGCTTCTCTGTATTTCATTTTAGACCATAGTGTCGGCAATGAGTACCATAATACCTCCAGTTCCGCTGGCCAACCCTGAAAACCAGTTTCGCTCAGACTACATCAAGAGCATCGCCCCCATCACTGATTTTGAATATTCCCAGGTAAGTCAGTCCCCTGCTGAGATGTTTGAAAGCCTCAGAGGTGGAACTGCTTTTCATGACTCGCTCAGGAAGACTCCGAGATGCATTCTGTATGAATTTCCTCAGGTCTCAACCTCTGCCCGCTGGAGATCTGCATGATTTCCTCTGTGTTGGTTTCAGTACTGAAGACGGCAGGATTGTAGGAAATACTTGGAGTGTGTGGGTGAGGCTCATGGGAGACCATGTGCCCTTATGAAATGCTGCGAGTGGTACCCAGGGCGGTGAGAGGACCTGGGCCTGAGGGCGGCTTTCCGCTCAGGTGAACAGTGGCGTTGCTCGCTTCCCTTGTTGCTTTCTCATTGCTGACGGTCTCCTACTTCTTACAGACACGTTAGGATTTGCTAATGGGATGAAGGAAAAGTACCTGTTCCGTTTCTCAGGATGCCGTGTGTGCGCGTGTGTTTCCACACGTATGCATAAGCCTGTCAGTAACAGCCCTTCAAAGTTGGCAGTGCCTGACAGAGTGGTTCTGTCTCAGATTCCTTGTCTCGGAAGCTCCTGCAGAAACCAGAGTATCCGAGAATGCCCGTGCCGCCGTGACTGAGGGTCCCTGTGCACCTGCTCACACCTGCCACTTCTCTTTGACAGCACATTGTCTGTTACCCGTGTGGGCTGTGGGTTGCAACTTAAAAAAAAAAAAAAAGGCTTTTAGTTGTATCGTTCAATGTGATTTTTGCTTCTGAGAGGCATTTCAGCATAGCCAGTGCCATCTCTAGATTTTCTGAAAAGGATTTGTGGGTGTGGGTGGCATGCTAGCTGGAAGACGGGGCTCGGCGGCGCTTGGCCTGGTGAACACCCAGGGTTTTACTGAGCTGTGTCTCAAGATGGGTGAGGAGATGTATGGCAGGCCAGGGTGTCTGGGTTCCCCTCTGTCCCAGCTGGGTGATGGCCCTCTGGCTTGCTGTGGTATTCTGTACACAATGACACAGTCCTGGCTGGCATCAGCAAGAGCGTCCCGTTCAGCTTCAGATGGAACCGTTTATAGACAAGTATTTGGATTCTCAAAATTTGTCCCATCACATGTGCTTAGAAGCAATCACAAACTCTGTTATGTTTAGGGAAGCCGTTAGCAAGTGGTGAGAAACAGACTAAGGTTTGTTAACTGGGCGCTTGTGGTCTCTCTTCTGTAGTGGGCCGGTTCCTGGATGGCAAGGGCCCTTGTGGTCAATCAGCAGATCTGAAGCAGTCAGTAACTCTCACGTGTGTTATTAGCAAAGGATTCCACAGTTTGTTGTCTGCACAAGCAGTTTTTGAATTGAATCCTGAATGCTTTGAATAATAAAGAAAACCTGAGAAGCCGTGTCCCTCGCACACCTGTATTTCGTATAGCCATGATTAAGTTCCCTTCGGAACTGATGTTCAGAAAACCTTCGTTATCCATAGATAAAAGAAGTTGGAACCCACAGATGTAAATTCAATTGTAATCCTCTTCCCGAGGCGGTATTCAGCTGGCAGGGTTGGCTAAGTGGCGGGGCAGGGGGAAATATGCTATAGGTGTTTCTTAAAGCCTAGTTTTTAAATTTCCTCACTTGTCTGTGTTCCTGTGAAATGAGAATGTGCTTTATTTACGTAAACATGGCTGTTAATATTAGTTGACAGCATTCCTCGATACAATGCTGCTTTTACTCTGATGTACTCTTTGTTTTTCAGTTTTTCAGTGCCCTATCCATACTGCTTAGCTGTTGTTTTGTTTTAAAGATTTATTTGAAAGGCATAGTTAGAAAGAGGGGGAGACAGAGAGATCTTCCATCCTCTAATTCACTCCCCAAATGAGGCTGGGCCAGGCTGAAGCCAGGAACCAGGAGCTCCCTCCAGGCCTCCCGTGTGGGTGGCAGGGGCCTAAGCGTTTGTACCACCTTTTGTTGCTTTCCCAAGCACATCAGCCAGGAACTGGATTGGAAAGCATACAGCCGGTATTCAGACCTGTGCTGCTGTGGGATGCTGTCCCAGACCCCTGTGCTGCTGTGGGATGCTGTCCCAGACCCCTGTGCTGCAGGTCCGGGGGTTCTTCTGTTCAGCCTCTCCCTGTGCTCCAAGCAGCCATTGGACATCCTTGCTTGGAAGTCTAAACTGCAGGCTCCCACTGACCAGGAGACGATCACATCACACACAGTCACGTGTCACTCAGCAACAGCCCTGCTCTGTGTTCCAGAGTGGGCACTCGTGGACCCAGATGGTGCAGCTGACCACACGCTGAGGCTGTGTGGCCTGCTGCTCCTCGGGTACCAGCCTGGGCAGCGTGTGGCTGCCCTGGACCATGTAGGCTACTGTGGTGCAGCAGTAGGTCACTGCATATCTACTCACAAGAAAAGACACAAAAAAACCACTAGAGACAGGGATTCTTCAGCTCCCAGCGTGATCGATGGCTTACCCATTGGATGGGGAACATAACACCATTGCAGAGAACCCTAAGAGGGCTTCAGGTCCTCAGCCTTTTCCAACATCCAGGAAAATGGTGTTCCCCCATGTTGTTGCTGCTGTTTTCATCAGTCAGTATGTAATTCACTGTGACGATCAGGTCAGAGTGGGGTAGGTCTGGTGAAAGCCCGGGCCACACCCCTGCTGGGACTCCAGCACTGTGGAAACAGGACAGAGTGACTGCAAAGGGCACTTCAGACAATAGGCTAGGGTGCTGGAAAGGCAGCACAACAGCTTATGCTGCACTGCACCACTCCTGCCTCCAGCTGCTTGCTGTTCCTGGAAGGCAGGGGAGGTGGCTCAGAGAGTTGCTTTGGGTTGAGTGTCCAGCGCCTGACGTTGGCCATACTGCTGCGGGCATTTGGAGAATGGTGGAGGGGAACCCTCCATCTACCTCTCTGCCTCTCAAACAAGTAAGAAAAAAAAAGTTTTCAAAGGAAGAAGTTAGTGGGTAAACGCAATTAAAAGGCAAATATGTCTAGGTGCAAAAAAGTGATGAAATCCATGCACGGTTTTTGGTTTTTTTTCCTAAGATTTTATGCATTTGTTTAAGAGGTAGCGTGACAATGAGACAGAGAGATTTTCCATCAGCTGATTCACTTCTTAAATGGCCACAGTGGCCAGGGCTGGGTCAAACCTAACCAAGAGCCTGGAACTCAACCCAGGTCTCCCACGTGGGTGCAGGAATTCAAGCACTTGAGCAATTTTCCACTGCCTTCCCAGCCACATTAGCAGGAGCTGGATTATAAACAGGGTAGCCAGGACTTAAAATGTTTCTGTCATATGACATGCCAGCCCCCATACATGGTTTCTCATACTACGTGTCTACCAGGTCTCCTGGCCTGGAAGCTGCCTCTGTATCTCCTGGGGGCCTGAGGCAGGGGCTGTGAGGAGCATCTCCTGGGGTAGGGAATCAACAGGGAACTCAGGAGACATCCCAGGATCTCTGAGTCTATGGACCAGATGGTGAGCAGGTGCTAAAGGGAGATGCTGAAGCCAGCCCATCTGGGTAACCTTGAGCCAGTTGTTTCACTCCTGACTGTTCAGTAGAGATCACCACAGCATCACTTCCTGCAGTTGTTGCAAAGAATACATGGTGTGTGTACACTTAGAACCAGTACAGTATTCCTTCTCTGCATGGGTCAGTGGGAACCTGGTAGTCACCTGTGTCTGCTATCCATCCGGGTCACATAGCCTGGAATCTCACATGTCTCAGCTGGCTTAGCCCTGAGACCCCCGAGAACATGGGTACCCAACTCCTTGTTCACTCTGGATCCCCTGGGAAACCAGTTGAACCCCGCAACTCTTCCCATTGGCACTCAAATCCAAACTGTTTTTTTAAAAAGATTTTTTTTTTAAATTTTTATATTTGTTTGAAACACAAAGTCAGAGAGAGAAAGATTGCTCTTCCATCCACTGATTCACTACTCAAATGACCATGAGGGCCAGAATGATGGACTAGCTCATGCCAGAGCCAGGAGTCAGGAGCCAGGCACCTCTCCCCCATCTCTCATGTGGGTTGCCAGACACCCAGGTACCTAAGCCATCTTTTATTGCTTTCCCAGGCCATTAGCAGTGAACTGATTGGATGCAGAGCAGTTGGGACACAAACTGGTTCCCACTCGGATGCTGGTGTCACACGTGGGAATGTAACCCACTGCACCACAATGTCAGCCCTTCATCAGGAGTTATAAGCCATCTCTTCCATTCTAAGCCAAGGGCTGTCATCCCCAATGCTTCACAGCATCCCTGGAGACGGACACTCCCAGGAATCTCCCAAGGTCATTGGCGCTTACCTGCTTAGGAGTCCTGCCTGCTTCCTCCTGGCCTATTTGTCTGGGTACCTGAGAAACAGATCTAGACCACCTTCCCCGCCAGGCTCTGTCTCCAGGACTCCCCACCTCCCACCCACGCCTGGACCTTCCCCTTCTTTCCCTTCTCTTTCGATCCAATTTTCTTCAACTGACTTTGGGCTTCCTGGTGTCCCTTCCTTCCTCCTCCTCCCACTTCCGATTCTGTGACTTGCTGAACCACAGATTCCTTAAAGCTTCCAGGGCTCAGCCTGGATTTTCCAATAGTCCTCTGCTTCACTTCTTGCCGGACTCCCTGGGGGCAACAGTTGCTACCCAGTCCTCTCCCCCAAGTACCTGCACACTCCTGGCTAATTCTGCCAACCCAGCCCTCAGTGGCACACCTGTACGGTGAAGACAGGGGTGGAGCATCTTGAATCCCCCCATCCACAGGGTGGGCAGGTTTATAGCAAAATAAACACTTCACATTTCCAGTATTAAGTGGTGTTTTTAAGCAGACTTCTCAGTATTTGGAATTTTTGTGAACAAAATATGTTTTAACTATCCTAGGCTGTGTCCTCTGTTGTTTTGAAAGGTTCCACCTTCGATGGCAATAATGTGTTTTCTCCCATTCACATGTCTGGCTTTCCCTCTTCCCTTTTCCTTCTTATTCACCCACATACCTAAACCTTGCATGGGCACACTCATACCCGCAGGGGCTGCATCATCCCCAAAACAGTGTAAGTTGTGAAT